CACTATTATTTACCTCGGCACTAGATGGAGATGAATGCGTAGTTTGAAGCTATCCCCGCAGACGCGAAACCATACGTCAGTTCCCTCTGCATTAATTAGTGGCGCAGTGCTTACTTAAACACGAGGACAACTTTACTGTCACCATATCCAGGAGATGGGTTTGTGTTGTAAACATATTTCTTGTAAAAATGGTTCTCAGTTCATCATTCGCAGTCACCCTACAGTACACAACACTACGTAACAACTGGGGGCACGCGGTAGTGTAGTTGGTTGAAGCACTATGTTAAGCTGAACGGTCGCGGGTTCGAGTCCCGATTAGGTCACTGGACTTTCAATTGACCTGATCTTTCTAGCCGCACTATGGCCCTGGGGTCGACTCAGCCTCTAACAGAAATGAGTACCAGGAATCTTCCTGGGGGTAAAGGGCAGCCGGCGCGTAAGGCTGACAAACTCACCGCCATCTGTGAACCGATTGTCTAGATAAAATGTGGAAGTCTCGGCGTATCACAACCCTGTGGGCCTCCACGGCCTGTTACAGGGATAGCTTTACTTTTTTTACCTTACATAACAAATGAAGTTCCAGAAGCGGCTTTAAAAAGGCCAAGGAATGATCAACCGAAACTTCGAGGAGAGATCTGAAGTTGTAGCATGTAGAATGTAAGATGGTGTACACATCTGAGTTTGTTCTTATATACCTGGGTGTTTTTGACTAGTGGCTCAGTCTGCAGCCATCTGTTCACACTGGTCCCTAACTCGCAGATTTTTCTACCCTGAAGATGGAGGCGATACGTTCCTCCGAAGCGCCGGTTCACACAAGATCTACAAGGCATTCTTCAACTGATGTTTAAGTTGTTTAACGACGCGTTACAAACAAATCCCACATGGATTGCAGCACCCTGGGAGACTGGACGAATAGAAATGAAGATACCGACGATAACACGAAAGTTATCAGTTAAAAGAGCCGATGACCTAGTCGAGATTCGACTCTGTACCTTCGGAGCACAAGTGTTGTGCGATGGTGCCGTGTGTGGATCTCCCAGGGACAACATCTCACGAGGGCAGACATCGAAGAAGAGAACGGGTTAGGGGTTGTCACGTGAGGGAGGACACACCTGCCTGTCCTGACCTCGACACTACCCGCTTACACCAGTGAACAACCCGCCAGACCTCAGCGCAAGAGCAGCTCACGTGCTAGGACTACACTTTTCTGTATTATAAATACTTTACTCTGCTTTCAAGACTGCACGCACAAGATTTCACTGAGATGGGGAAAACAAAGCACTTTCGTCCATCTGTCCGTCCGCGTGTTTCATCTCGGAACGCCCTGTAGTCCGTTGAAAATTCAACGGAAGAAACAGGGTGGGTGGATGGATACAGCTGTCTTATGATAGGGAGAAAGTAGTGGACTCTTGAATACCTTGACAGATGAGCGACTGTCAGTTTCTCAAGAAGAACTCTAAATCCTGGAGTTAGGGTCTTCCTTATTTTTATGCTAATAGCACTGCCAATCATCCTCTTTGTTTCGCCACATTTAGGGGATCTGTAATAGAACAGAGGGCTAGAATTGACTGAGCAGTATCTATGTTACAGCCCTTGTGGACCTTGGCTGCTTTTTCAGTTTCTTAATCCAGACACAGTTGGCAGGACTCCTTGGACGAGGGATCAGCCCGTCGCAAGAACTCTACCCACGATCCCGGTGTTTGACTGGACGAAGACAGTTCATGCCTCAGACCGCGCTGATCGGCTGACTAGGCACTTAAACCAATCAGTCACAGACATAAATCTGTTTAGGTCATTTCAGAATAACTTTGTATAACGTCATATATTTGGTACAATAAGTTATAGATAAACTTAACTAATTAAGCACCACGCCATGAACACGTGTGGGGGAATGGAAGTATAGCTCCACCACTCCTGACCTCAGCACTATGGTGGTGAGTGGTCAGCTTTACGCCCCAGCCGCTTTGTCTTCGGAGAAATAGCCCCAGATACCCATTGCATAGGAGGCTGGGTGTGCGCTGCGAAGAAGAGAAATCTTGGCGCTGCCGGGAACAGAACCCAGGCCATCCAGCGCGGAGTTCTGCCGACTCCTTATATTTGATCCATTGCGCAAATAAATGCAAGTTAGGAATATTTATTCGCAATTTTGTATGCTGTGTTGGTAGTCACGGCTGTTTTACCGGCCCATGGATCTGACAATCGGGTCACGTGTTCGAAATATCTGTCGTGTAACACATATTCCAATGTTGCTGGAAGCAGGCTTCATCTCCATAGCAACGAGATTTTAGGAGCATGCTAGCTGCTAGCGAACTCTCTCGGTGGAACTTGGGGGCACGCGGTAGCGTAGTTGGTTGAGGCAGCAAGCTACAAGCCGGAAGGTCGCGGGTTCGAGTCCCGATGACGTTACTGGATTTTTCGGTTTATCTAATCCTTCCAGCCGCACTATGGTACTGAGGTTGACTCAGCCTCTAAGGGAAATGAGTACCAGGAATCTTCCTGGGAATAAACGGCGGCCGACGGGTATGACTGACAACCTCACCGCCATCTGTGAGCCGATTGTCTAGAAAATGTGGAAGCCTCGACGTCTCACAACCATATGGGCTTCACGGCCTGTTACACGGATAGCTTTACCTTTCAAGGTCTAGCTTATATGCATATATAATGAACTGAGTTCAGGTTTCTGAAACACCCTGCAGTTAACCGATGATGTAAACACAGGCATCACAGCAATTAGAGTAAACTAGTGCTACTGCCTCGTACGCATGACAGTTTAGCCAGCGAACGACTCTGAACAGTGGCACACAGAAGCAAAGGGTAATGTTCGTGAGCCCCTTGCACCCTCTTCATTATTCATGCATACGTGTACGTCTGCTGCAGCCCTCCACACAGGCGCGCATGGAGTGTTGCTTATACACATAACTGAGCTCTGTAAACGCTACAGATCCTGCCTAAGTAGATAGCATCGCTAAGATTATATAAATTTATTGCGAACAACTGACAAGGGGATACTTCTTCTGTTTTCAGTGGCAACACGTCAGACAAAAGTTCTCTAAACATTTTTCCGCCAGGGATATAAGAAAACTGCATGGAAAACTGGACGTTTATTGAAGCGCACATATCACTGCAGAATCATCCCATTTTGCGATACAGTTATTTACATATCACCACGTGTCTGGGGTTCCGTGACGAATAATAATGGGTTCTGGATTGCATGATAATTGGATTTACTGATAGTTATACATTCACACAATTCTGGAGTACCCATGTCAAGTGTGGATTCGCGGCGCGGACCACATAGAAAACATCGCTTCGTCTACAGTTGCGAAGGCATGTTTAACGCGCCGTTGTCTAGCAGTAGAAGTCCTATTGTTGCGTTCACTTGTGTTGCGGGAATGCGTTTAGCGAACCGTTGCCTAGCAATGGATATACACATTACAATATCAATGTACCGTCTATATCTCAGACTACGTAGCGTTGAACGGTAGATCACTGACGCACGATTAATTGCAACAGGATTTGGACTGAAGTAATCATGAAATAATGACGGTTCTTCGGTCGTCCATCCCGTATCTTAGTCGGCATTCGGACTGGGCGAAGCAAGTAAGCAGAATTCTGGTATATAATCCCTTCTTCCACTGCGTGCCTACAGCCCATAAACTCTACATTATGCATGTCTACATCTACGGGTATCTCCATCCGTCTCGTCTTTAAGAATGACAAACGGAAGGAAAATGGAGTCCTTGCAGGATCCCCCTCTCTCCCTCCCTGTTAGTCACATGCACAGAACCAGAGAAACAGACTCAGAAAGCATTGCGTTGTTTATACAGCATGTAACCATGACAACGTGCCCCCTCCGACTCTTCTGGTGGTCTCCTCTTCAAATCGCCCTTACGGAGGGGGTCATAAGGACCATTACTCAGCTCAGGGGCTTATTTAACAGTGCTGTTTCGCAGAATTGCAGGAAAACGTCTGCCAGCTCACACGAATACGACACAAATGCCATTATGCTATTTGTTTCTTTAATGACACTAACGGTGACTAGACTGCTCAGCTGTTCAAGCTATTGCTCTCTGCCGTGTCCAGCAGATCGCGCCGTTGGACAGTGCCCTGAGCCACGCTCCGACAAGCACGTGCCGGCTAACTTTACGCCTGAGAAATGACAGTAGGTCTCATTATTCAACGATTTTAGCCAAAACTTTAATTTACCTAGAAATTTTAATGAAACTCTTCAATACCGAATTTCAGTGAAATCTATTCAATTGTGCTCTAGTTATTACAAGTGTAGAGACAGACTTCGGGGCACGCGGTAGCGTAGTCGGTTGAGGCACTATGCTACAAGTCGGTAGGTCTCGGGATAGATTCCCGATGAGGTCACTGGATTTTTCAATTTACCTAATCCTTCCAGCCGCGATATGGCCCTGGGGTCGACTCAGCCTCTAACACAAATGAGTACTACGAATCTTCCTGGGGGTAAAGGGCGGCCGGCGGGTAGGCTGACATCCTCACCACCATCTGTGAGCCGACTGTCTATAGAAAATGTGGGAGCCTCGACGTCTCACAACCATATGGGCTTCCACGGCGTGTTACAGGGATAGCTTTGCCTGTTTCACTTATACGAATGATCGAGGAAATAGACGGATGTTGTCAACGTCTCCTTGGAAACACACCGAGGCAGGAAGCAACTGAACTACCATGGAAGTCCGTAACGCTGAATGTGAAACGGTGAGCAGGTGTTAAGAAGTACGTACATGGGCAAAACACGCGGACTACGAATGCCTTACACACAAAGCAATGTCCATAGTTCGAGGCAAAATCCAGTGTTGTCTGATCTTGGGAAGGGTAGCCCTTCTGCGGTTCCGACATGCTCAGAATTTGTCAAGGCCGATTGCTGGATGGACTGTCGCCAAATGCCATTCTCTTTACGCAGGAGAATCAAATATGAAGAGCTGTAAACAGAGAGGAAATGAACCCAGGTTACTTAAGTTGTGATCTGTACTTACCCTCGCCTTCGGCGTCTGTTTGAGTCCGATGGCTGGTTGACTTCTGTTGCTCTGAAACAAAATTGAAAACAAAATCACTCTTAAGTTTCAATTTACTTGCAAGTTCGAGCGTATTGTCCAGTAAATACGGAACTGCTGAGGGCTACATCTAAGAAACTGGCATACAAAATAACAGGAGGTTCTAGAAAGAACTAATTGTCTACTTTTCCTAGATACGACACGGACCGCATATAAAACAAAAAAAAATGGAGGGGAGCACACAGACAGAAAAAGAGCAAGCTGATCTCATAACCATCCTAACAAAAATTACGAAAGATACACAGACAGCGAGCAAGGAGATCTCATAAGCCTCACGGACATACACAGATATGTGGGACTGAGGTTCTTACACGGAAGAAAAGAAAGATTAATGTCTTTGTGGATATGGAAGGCACCGACGTTTCGGAGGAACCTGCCTTTCGAAGGCTTCCAAATCTGTGGACGTTACTGCGGTAGCCTCGCCATTACAGGATGAACTCATTGTGTCTGACGTGTTCACAGCGGCGACTACGAGTATTACGGCCGTCTGGGGATGTGACGCCGTGTAGTCTAGTAGACTTTTATCGATGTATCGAAGAAAGAGCTCTTTAACCTGAAGAAGGAAGCAGCACGTTCCTCCAAACATTCGGAAAACATCTACCAGACTACACGGCGTCAAATTCCATAAGACAGCAATTTAGCGTAGTTAGTTGAGACAATATGTTACAAACCGGAAGCTCGCGGGTTCAAATCCCGATGAGGTCATTGGATTTTTTCAATTTACCTAATCCTTCCAGCCGCACTATGGCCCTGGGGTCGACTCAGCCTCGTAACAGAAATGAGCACCAGGAATCTCTCGTCGGCGGAGGGGGGTAAAGGGCGGCCGGCGCGTAAGGCTGACAAACTTACGGCCATCTGTGAGCCGATTGTCTAGAAACTGTGGGAACCTCGACGTCTCACAACCCTATGGACCTCCACGGCCTGTTACAGGGATAGCTTTACTTACTTACCGTGGCCAGAACCCCAGACGCCACGGTAACAAAATTCCGGTGCCCATAGAAGGCGGTGGAGTTCCTGACTCGCCGAGTAACTATTAGCTTGTCAAACACGTAAAGGTAGATTTGTCCCTGTGCTTAGTTAAGCAGTATCCCATGAAGGCATGGAGTGAAGCGGAGGTATAGCTCCACCATTCATGCCCTGATTATTTTATCCTAGGGGAAAGAGTCCTCCGTATCCTTTGTATAGGAGTCTGGGTGGGCCCCAGAACTAGTGTGAGCCAGCTGCTGCATGAGGACACGAATATTTTCCTGATGAAGGCAGGGAGGCGAGGGGTTGTGGATGCAAATAAATTTGGGAAAAAATTCTGTTCCCTACATAATGTAATTAAGCAAGTGGGCCTGGATGGGCAGTCAAGAGTGATTATGGGAACGTGTGACGTATTTTTAATTATTTCCCATCATGCGTCGGGCGTGAAGCGAAGCGCTCGGAAGCTCAGCGTGTTGCGTTGCGAGTGCAGCAAAGTACTTTTCCTGTCCTCTCGCTCCCACTTCGGAGCACAGGGCTGATTTCTCAGTTTCATGGTCTTTTTACAGACGGTAGGACTCTTTGGACGGGTGATCAGCTCGTCGCAAGGCCTCCACCTAAACACAGGACAACATATACACAGAATAAACACAAACACACACCAAACATCCATGCCTTTTGTAGGATTTGGACCAAAGATCCGGCTTCCGAGCGAGCGAAGGCAGTACAATAGCAAAGTAAGAACGGTTTATAAACTTCATGTTACGGTTTTCCAGGTCATGACATGGTGTAGTTTGGTAGGTGCGTTCGAACTCTTCAGGAGAACAAGATTCGCCCTGCCTCGTATTCGGTGGGTGCCGGGGCCGGTTTCCCTGAAAGTAAAGGGGCTAGAAGCGTGAAGCAGACCGCTTATCTCCATATAAATACAGTAAAAGTAGCGTCCCTGTGTTTAACGAATCAAGCACTACGCCATAAAGATGTATGGAGGGAGTGGGAGTAGAGACGCTATTATTCTTGACCTCGGCACTAGTCGAGAGTAGTCAGCTTCAAGCCTCGGCCGCTTTACCCCGGAGAAAGATCCCCCCGGCACCCATTGAATAGGAGGCTGGGTGGGCCCCAGAACCTGTCTGGACGCTGTGGAGAGGAGTTGCTTCTTTATAGTGCATTTAACGGCGAAGCCAGTAAATCAAAATGTACGGCGTCATGTGATAAAATAATAAGTGAATAATGAATTGGAAAAGATGTGGAAAGGAAGCAGGTATCATCCATATATTTCTCTGGAGAAATTGAGGAAAACCACGAAAAACTTTTTAGGTTAGTTGGTGCCCCAGCCAGGATTCGAATAGAAGTCTAGAGCAGTGCTTCCATGAACTCATCCCCTGTTCCCTCTGTCCTACCGTATAAAAGGCATTCTTCAGAATAGCGGTTTGCACAACCCACCAAGGGTCCTGGGTTCGATATAGGGAAAACAGCGCTCTGTGCGCAGTAACCATGGCGACGCGAAGCCAACATCCCGTAATGAAGGAGACCAGACATTGATCATTTTCATGTGATACTACTCGCTGGCCGGGGTCATGTGCCAGTGACCTCAGCTCTACTGAACTGCCTAATCCCGTAACGACGGTCTACTCAACTGCCCAATACGACATACGCGTAATTACACATACTTCACAGCAAGATTTCAAGAACTGTACGAAAGCTTATTTAACAATTCATTATCAGATACAGAGGTTATCCAGCACAGAACAGAAAGGGGTAAAATAACGTAAAGGTATTCCTGTAGCAGGCCGTGGAGGCCCATAGGGTTGTCAGACGTCGAAGCTCCCATATTTTCTCTAGACAGTCGGCTCACAGATGGCGGTGAGGTTGCCAGCCTTACGCGTCGGACACCATGAAGATTCCTGGTACTCGTTTCTGTTAGAGGCTGAGTTGACCCCAGGGCCATAGTGCGGCTGGAAGGATAGGTCGATTGAAAAATCCAACGACCTTATCGGGAATCGAACCCGCAACCTTCCGGCCTCAACCAAATATGTACCGATGCTACCAGTAACATCATACAGCGTAAAGCGACTGGACAACAATAAATGCTGAATTGCAAATGGCGTGGAAGGAAGCGGTCGTGGCCAATTTTAAGATAATGTGCTGAAATATTCATTGCGGGACTGAGAAGAGACATCAAAAAGCGTATCAAGATATTCCGCATCCCAAGATTCGAACCAAACACCTCGAGATATCAACCGAGAGGGTAGTGGAGGTATAGCACCACGCAATCTTAAACGTCGATTACTAAATGAAAGTGAGTTGTTAGTTTCACGCTCCGGTCGCTATCGCTTCGGGAGAGAGGTTTCCGATTTGCACTGCACAGGAGGCTCAGGAGGACAAAGATTATGTGAAGAAGAAATCGATAACGGCAATCAAAACCCGATCCATGGATCGTTTAGAGCATAGCTCAGTCAATATACTGACTAAGTTACTGGCGCAATGTAGGAGCTCAGTCGGTATAGCGACTTGCTGCAGGCCGGAATTCAAGTCCCGGTAGGGTCAAGAATTTTCTCTTCTCCACGTCGTCCAGGGGTAAAACGGCCGGAGAGAGAAGCTGACCACTCACCTGCAACTAGTGTCGAGTTCAAGAAAACGTGGATCTATACATCCCCTGCCCCATACGTCTTCATGGTATAGTGCTTAATTAGTGAGGCACAGGGACAATGTGGACCTCCCCTATGCAGTACGTTGCAAATGTTGCGTGATATGATGCCTTTCTATTGCGGCTCTTGACAGCCTCACGGCCTGTCCATTAATTCCACTTTCTGTTGGCAGAGCTAATAAATCCAACGTGTTCCACCCCCCCCCACACACACACACACACATGAGAGCACAAATATATCGGTTTCAAGCAATGTAACCCCCCCTCCCCCGACGCGGCGGGCGTGCTCTGATCTCTCGTTATTAAGCCCAAACATGGAACCAAAATTAATAGTCACTCACCACACGAACAAGTCACTCGATATTGGAAAACTGCGGTTTGAAACCCGAAGCCGTCATTCTCTGGGTTTTTGTGATGGTCTGCCGGCTAGTTCAAAGGCCTCCCACTGGCGACTCCGTGGTTCGAGACCTGATCAGTGTTTATAACTTTCCGGTCTCAAATCCGCTCCCTAATTATTCAATTGCGCTCGCTGCGCTTACCCTTCTAAGCTGAAGATGGAGGCAGTAGCTTCCTCCGAAATCCCAGTAAACATCTGAGAAGCTAGGACTGCACAATACAAATCAGTACGAGTATAAGCACACACCGACTGTGGAGCCACGCGCAGGGGAAAGCGGTTAGTCGTTCGCTTCCCACTGCGGCGGCCCGGGTTCGATCCCGTGTCTGGTCACTTGGAATTTGTGGTGGACAAAGTGGCGCTGGGGCGGGTTTTCTCGGAGTAGTTCAGTTTCTCCTGCCAATCTTCATTCCACCAAATTCTCCATCATCCTATTCACCCGGGGCAGGCTACAATAGGCCACTCAGTGGCCGCCGTGCCGAGTGGACCCAGTTTGACTCCACCCCCCACTAAGCGAAAGAAAAAACCAGGGGAACACACGAACTTGGCACAGTTCCGGAAAACCCTGAGAACATTCATATCCTGCTGTTTAGAATACAGACAGTGGCTAGTACATGCTCTTACCTTCATTCGCCTATGCATTAAAATGCATCAAGAATGATAATTGTCCTGCAATACTACATATACCGTTATTCACTGGGTTCGTATTAGGCTTACGGGGCTTATATTGTGTTGGTAAGACTCCTTGGACGGGGGATCAGCTCTGACGCAAGACCGCTACATACACAAGACAACATAAACAGAAGAAACATTGACAGACATCCACGCCTCGAGTGGGATTCGAACTCGCTCTTCCATTGTTTGAGCGGGTGAAGACATTTCAAGCTTTAGACCACGCGGCCCCTGTGTTCTGTTCCGGTTCCGGTTGCGTCCTGACTCCAGCGATTCCTTCACTAAAATTACTGTGGCAACGCTTCGTGATCCACTTTGAACTTCACTTTCGACTGTTTCCATCGAATGACTGCACGCATTCACCAGATCTCCCTGTGCTTAACTGGAGACGTATGGGGGACTGGATGTATAGATCCACATTTACTTGACCTCTACACTAGTTGGAGGTGAATGGTCAGCTTCACGCCCCGGCCGCTTTACCACCAGAGAAAGAGACCCCGGTACCTATTGGATAGGAGGTTGGGTGGACTCCAGAGCCAGTCTCGACGACATGGAAAAGAGAAAATTCTTGACTCTACTGGGACTCGAACTCTGACCCCTCTGTCGTCCAGCCCATAGCCAGTCACTACACCGACTGTCTGTTCCCAATTACATATGAGTATAATCAATACTGTTGTAACTACAGCTCTCCTCTACTCCCTTTACTCCACTTTTCCTTCCTAAAGTCCATCTAACGAACCACGACACGTCACACCTTGTGTAGGCCATCTTACGAAAGGAAGGCCCTTTGTATCTACGCCTGAATTTCTCATCGGAATATGAAAATAGGAAGTACTTTGAAAACAGAATCTACCAAGTTTCTAATGAAGATCTAATTGCGGGGTTTGGACTGATAATTGGATTTATTGAGTGCTTATAACTCGTAACTACAAAGCTTTCTCTAATCTACACACTCTACAAAACTATACCGCAAACATTAAGTCTTCTGTGTCCTTAGTAGTCGTTGCTTGGTAGCGGCTTCTAACAGAGCAATTGAAGACTCTAAATTGGTAAACGCCGACTACGACCTCCGAGTTTTCCTGCTTGGCCTCGGAAAGGGCCGGATAGAAGACATCGTTTCCAGCAGTTCCTCTATTCTTGCTTGTTTATTCGTTGCCGCGCCGTTGCCTAGGAATGGCTGCCCTTAATAGTTACAATATTCCGGCCTTCAGCCGTCATTTCACAGTAGTAAGAGTGAGACTCCCTCGTAACTGCAGCAGATGGAGTACAGCACACATCGGGTTCCATTGTGGCTGCATTAATTAATTAATTTGTATTGTTCCTTTCACTGGGACGATCTTGAATAGAGGGTCAGAGGTGAAAGCAGGTGAATAGGACTAGCATAACAGTCACCTCCTCTGCCTGTTCCCTCCGGCGAACGGGCAAATTAAAAAAGAAACGTTTGTTTCATTCCCCGTGTCGCGGTAAATGCAGCACGTATACAGAGCGGTCGAATTTCATACGAATCCGAAATAGTGCGGTTTAAAACAACATTAATAAAACCTCGGGGCACGCGGTAGCGTAGTTGGTTGAGGCACTGTGCTACAAGCAGGAAGGTCGAGGTTTCGAATACCGATGAAGTCTTTAGATATTTTCAGTTGACCTAATCCTTCCAGCCGCACTGTGGTCCTGGGGTCGATTCAGCCTCTAACAGAAATGAGTACCAGGGATCTTGGGCGGCGCCGCGTAAGGCTGACAACCTTACCGCAATCTGTGAGCCGATTGTCTAGAAAATGTGGGAGCCTCGACGCCTCATAACCCTATGAGCCTCCACGTCCTGTTACAGGGACAGAATAAAGTCTCACTTTATGTGCAGAGTTCGAAATAATGCGAATTTATTTCTATGAAAACCTTTGTTTTGAATTATGCTAGCCCTGAGGACTACACCCTCGCATGAAATGCGACCGCATTGCATATGCTTCCCGAGATGCTACAAAACATTAGCGTCCAGTGTCTAAAGACGACAGGGAATGTGAAATGGGACCACATTCAGACCGATATATCTCGTTCTTGTCATGGAAAATGCTATTAGCATACTGCCTGATAACAAAGGCGACGTCAGACATCTGCAGTGCTCACATTAATCGGGATAATTTTTATCAGACAATGCTCACTGTACATATTTTGTCTGGTGCTGCCCCCAGATGGAGCGAAACAAACGGCTGTCGGGTATGACGAACACTGCAGCTGGTAACAAAATTAGTATTCCACCTCAATCTCCCCCTTGTTCTCCTGTAGTTATGGTGGGGGATAAAATATATTGGACTTGAACAATATGACTACCCATTGTGGACGATGAAAGGGGGATGGGGGCGGGGTACACGGAGCACGCAATGTTACGGATGTACCGCGGCTTCTAGAAGTTTCGCTTTCATCGCGAGTCGCAAGAACTTCAGCAGGGCAAAACGGAAAGGATGGATGTCGACGTCTCGATAGACACGAACTTTACGTTACTTGTCTGTGCCGAGATTTCGAATACGTGGAGCTTTACCTCCGCGAATCCTACAAATTCTTCTAGAAACACTTCGACTATTGTAGTTCTAAAAATTATGCTTTCTTGATGACGACTCCTCCACCATCTTTTACTTCGTTAAGACACCTCCCACTTGAGAATTCGCAAAATTACCCTCAAATTAATATGCACTATGCTACAAGCCGGAAGGTTGTTGGTTCGATTCCCGATGAGGTCACTGGATTGTTTAATTGACCTAATCCTTCCAGCCGCACTATGGTCCTGGGGTCGACTCAGCCTCTAACGGAAATGAGTACGAGGAATCTTGGGTGGCCGGCGCGCAAGGTTGCCAAACTCTGAGTCGATTGTCTAGAAAATGTGGGAGCCTTGACGTCTAACAAACCTGTGGGCTTCCACGGCCTGTTATAGGGATAGCTCTTACCTTTTCACCCTAAAATTGCAAGAAGAAGAGAGTAGAGTGTTATGAAATGGGGTAAAATTTTACACCTTTTCTCTTTAGCTCAAAAATACAAAACATGTTGGCCAATTATTATAATTCATGATATTTTTAAAGGTTTCTGGTCATAAAATCAGTTATAATTTGCTAACTACAGTTCCCGTAATGGAGAAAGTTGTCAAGTGACGTAACAGAAATAAAGTGAACGTCGGGGAATGTTAGTGCGGCAGTAACTCTTTAGAATTTTATGTAAGAGGTACTGCTCTCAAATCTCGATCGGGACACCGGCTGCCCTGACCGAGGCATTTCCTTGTTTTCCTCAGTCTTTACAGGAAAATCCTTTCAAATTCATCAATTACCATACCATATGACTTTTTATTATTATTCTTAGTGGGGTGAGACTGAGTCCACTTGGTGCTGCGGCCACTACTGGCCAGTCCCAGATGACAGATGGTGGTGACTGTGGAGCAATTGGTGGAATGAAGATTGGGAAGGGAAACCGAAGTACTCGGAGAAAACCTGCTTCACCGCCACTTTGTCCACTACAAATCCCACATGACCAGACCCGAACTCTAACTCGGGCCTCTGCGGGGGAAGCTGGCGTACAACCGCCTCATCCAGACCGTGATGCTACGTACATAACTCGGCTACCGACAGCGCCGTGACATAAACTGTAGGAATGCAAGCATCTGAAAGAGTATATCAGTGACAAACAATTTTCATATCCTCCTGTGTTTCAGCAGTGGTTACTCTGAGAGTGGTTCAGACTGGCTACTCGCTGGATGGCCCGAGTTGGATACCTGACAGGGGCAAGATTTTCCTGTGCTCCACAGCGTCCAGACCGGCTCTGGCGGGGGGGGGGATTCCTTGACTGTAAAGCGGCCAGGACGTGAAGCTCCATCTGATGCTGAGGTCAAGAATGGTGGAGCTATACCCCCACTCACCCATTTGTCTTCATGGCGTGGTACTTATTTACGCACAGAAAAACTACTTTAGAAGCTCAGATGGTAAATGAGACTTTGAGGGCATCGAGGATGTCTCACCCCTTACCTGTGTGCCTCCTTCTCCCCCCGGTCCAGGCCCAGGACCTCCTCCACCCTTCGGCTGCTGAAACTGTTGGGGCTGTTGTTTCGACGCCGGTCCGGTAGATGTCACCTGCTGCTGCTGATGTCTTCCAGATAATATCTTTCTGCACGCTCCACCTCCACAACTTTCCGGTTCACTGCCTCCAGACGCACCCTTAGCACCCGCCCCAGCGCCCCCACTCGCTCCCATCACAACAATATCGTCACCAATAATTAGCCCTCCAAATTCAGACCCTCCACAACAACCCCCAACAACCAGTGACGTAACTGAAGACCTTCGCACAGACGCGCCCACCAGAGATGCCAAGGAGGAGTTGAAATCTGATCTGAGTCCAGTTCTAGCGGCGTTACCCTCGACTGCACACGAATTGTCACTAGCAGTTCTGAGCTCGCCGTCGCCACCCTGCTTCTCACAGACCACGCTGAGAACCTCGCCCCCCGCCGTAACAACGCTGACAACCTCTGCTTCGATGTCCCCTGCTCCTGTGATGATAATCTTCCCGGATGCTGTACTTTTAATTCCAATGGTTTGAATAGGAGAAACTGAAGGTTTGATGATGGCAAGAGGCTGCTTAACAATCAGTATGTCCTTCCGTGGAGAATATATGATTCCTGGGCAGCTGGTTGCCTTGGAGATGCCTGCAGGAACGCCTAAAGTTTTTGTAACAATTTTTGGAGGTGGCGGTGGTGGAGGTATACGGATATCTTCGTCGTCAATGGCAAAGGCAACGCTTTTGGGCCGCACCGGTGTTGGAGGTCTCCGGGGGTCTCCGCATGCACACTCTTTCTTAACTGGTTTTGATGGAGTAGGACTGGGTTCGTGTACCTCTGGGATACTGGTTCTACTGGACGATTGCCGGACGAGGTTCTTGACTATGCACTCTGGTAATGGAGATCTATATCCACTGGGCACGTACTCCGGCAATGGAGATTTCTTTCCAGTTGAGAACTGATCCGGCAGTGGAGATTTCTTTCCAGTGGTCTCCTTTAAAGGCGATTTTTGAATGGGTAAGAAGTATTCAGACGCCTGTGCCGGGTGCAGTGGAGATGGAGACCTTCTGTAATCTCTTTCTTCTGGTGGAATTAAATTCGAGAGAGATGTTCTGTTTGGAGGAGCTGGAGATGCTGTTCTTCCAGTCTCTCTTTCGTTTATAGGGGCTAGAAATAAACTCAACTGCGAGCTTCTCGGTGATGACGAAGCCAATGTTCTCAGTGGACCTTCCTTTGCTTTTGGTGCCTCAGCGCCTGGGTTAACATCTGCAACTTCAGACGATGAAGCTGGGTCAGCAGAGGCAGTTGTGCTTTCTTCAGTAACCTTCGGATTCGAGTCTGCAAATCCTGGACACGGATTATTCTTGCTGGTCTTAGTGGGTTCGGATGGGATTGTCTCAGGGGGTTCTGGTTTCGATTCCGGCGTCAGAGAAGGTACCGCAACCTCCTTGCTAACGGGTAGAGAGCTTTCGCTAGTTGTTCTTTCGGGAGGTTTCGGTTTCAGACTTGGAACTACTGGAGGTCTCACGGGAATCGGATGGCTTCTGTGAGCACCAGTTTTATGAACACCTACCGGGAGTCTGGCGATACAATTGGAGTCCGATACGTGGAACACTGCGCCGTTACTCTTAATGTTATCCTGTTTCTTTCTGCTTAGTAAGAGACCAGTGCCTCGAACTGCTTGGCCTATTTCTACACTGCGCTGAATACCTGCGTGAGCACCAGTTAGCATTTCGGGTACATGCGGTGCTGACTCGGCTAGTCTTGCTAGCTGAGTATCCGGACGGGGACGTAGCCCCCCGGACTTGCCGTCGGAACGGCTGTCCGGCCGAAGGGGCAAAGCGCCAACTCCGTGGAACCACACGTTGGATAAATTGAAACTTATGATTGGTTTTTAGAATGACACGTGACAAACAAACACAGCTTCGCCCTCAAAGTAAACGTTAATTTGTGTTCCTATTCTGCACCTGACCACCAGTTCCGTGTGTTGCTGTGACGTAACGCGGTTTCAAACTTAACTGATGTGATTTGAGGCTTGAGGGATGGAATTCGCCCCACTACCCAATGACGGTTCACATTTCAACCACCAACCCCTCTGCTTACCCCCTTCTATTTGTGCAATCTACCATACCACTGCCACTGTCACACTACAACCCCATTCCCCACCCTTATGTATCGCAGGCCTCATCACGTTTCATAAATGTGTCGTGAACGACCATGGTCACACGTTCCGTCTTATTCACTTCAGAGATGAGATTAAATTTCCCCCGTCCCAAATAATAAGCCAAAAAAGACTTAAAACTGTTCACTGTGCACAGGCGATGCAGTGTTAAGTTCACGTCCACTGTTCGTGGGATTATCCCTTCCGACGGTCAGTAGTTCCTGGCAGGTGGACAGCGTGTGGCAGCCACAGACAAACGCAGGATACAGAAACCAGCTTCTTTCACCTGCCGACTCACCACTCACAGAGAAACAAATAACGCGACAATGTCTAGATTTTCGCAAACAAAACCTCGTCACAAACACACACTCCCCTTTCGAATATATATTGTTTTACACGTTCTGTCGCTAGGTGGTGTTAGCGGCGTCCGATCGAAGATCCAGCGGTGCTTGGGCGTCGTTTCATTCCCCTCCCAGTTAGGCAACCACCTCACATGCCCTCTTCCCCACCCGTCATTGCCAATACCTTACCCCTCCCAAAATATCTACCCCTATAGAACATCCCCTCACATATGACCTCTCTCCCTCTCTACAATACTAGTTCACCCCTAGAACCGACAGGGTTTTAGCTAAATTCATTCAATTCTGACATTAAAACAGGACGTGGTTATCTCCCCCCCCCAACCTTTGCATGAAGTGAATGACCTTATATTCCAGGACAAAAGATCAGCTGTCTCGTGGAAGGGTGTTTTCGTGGTGTCGTGATGTTCCGTGCATGGGCACGGGATCAGAAAGCGAGATCATGCATGAAATGAATAACTTCCCGCAACAGAATGGAAAAACTGATCACCCCTTCCCATATTTGACTGCGATCTCTGTTTCAATCAGCGAATCATGTTGAACAAACTTCGACGGTTCAGTCAGTAAGTTAGAAAATTAAACACAGTTGAAAGCAAGAGTGTTCTATGCATTTAGGTTGTGGTCGTTGCTGTGACGTAGTCTTTTAGGGGATTAACAACGTTTCTCCAGAACATGATTCCACCATATTCGAAAAAGGAGGTAATATATTACTCCGAAACGCTGGTAACCACCAGCCAGAATACATGATGTCAAAATAAAGAAGATCACATTTCAAATTTTCATCGCCACGAAAACCGCAAATCAATTGATTGAATTTGAACAAATTTTTACGGAGTACATGAATTAGTAAGCTTCCAGAAGAACCAATTCAACTGTAAATATTTGTGTGTTTTACGTCTGAAAATTTCCTTGCTCAGGTCAGGCGTTTCCGAACTCAGAACAGTCGGTCTCCAAATCGAGATTCGAACCCATACCTCCGGATTGCAAAGCAAGGGTACTAACCACCCGGAGACGAAACTCAATCTGAACCGCTATTGTTAATTATACAGGTTGATTCTAAATAATTGTCGGGGTTTCCGAGTCCTATAAACGGAAACACAGACAATAATTCAGGATCACCCTGTATTGCAACAGTAGCAGAGGAAACAACAAGAACAACGATTGGGCACTCACCTTGCCGGACCCGCGGTTCTTGGAGCAGCGCAGTACACCAATCGCGTGCTGCCGATACTCCTTCTCCAGGTGGTCATGTTGCGCCTGGATACGTCTGCAAAGCGACAGACACATATGTATAAGGGCTTCGCGTACTCTCAAACTCACTCACATCATGAACATCCAATTTAAAAAATGTCCAGATAATGTGGGACCCTCAACGTCTCACAACCTATGGGCCTTTATGGCTGTTACAGGGATATCTTTAGTTTTGCTTTATTTACCGACTACCGTCCTCAAATCCCTCTTATAAATAATTATAATTCATAAAAGTTACAACAATCGGCGGCACAGAGTCTATTGCAGGTAGATACGCATACTGGTAGAACCAGTATCTACTACCTACAACAAGGCCGTGCAGGGATCTACTGGCGTACTGTGTTATCATAATCTCACGCAGGAGCAGCGTGAAGGAGGTAGCAAGCACGCATATCGTTGCCAACTGCTTGAAGCTGGTTTTTGGCTTGGATTCGATCCTGAAGATGGAGGCGACATGTTCCTACGAAACGTCGATTGTTTTTCAACGTACCGCACGGCGTTATAAAGATATAACTTTCCATTTAGTGTCAGTTTTACTTTACAGACGAGGCTGTATGATTTCTGCTTTCGGTGATAAGTCTCACAGATTGTAGAAGCTGTTACGAAGTTTTGGAAAATATTGCAATAGAAATCTTCGGATTAGCATGTTTTTTTTTTTTCTTTTTGGGGGCGTTCTGAATTATTTTATATAATACACAGACCTGTAAAGGAATTCATAACCTCCCACAAAACAATCACCTTTTACACGGCAACCGTAGTATTTGTCGAAACATTAGCAATCCCACAAGATTGTAAGCGGTGTGTTCTCCAAGTCATACACAAAACTCCAGCCGCAAAGATTCACGCGGTATTTAAGTCACTCTTGCACGCAGCGTCTGTGGCATTGCCTAGTAGTTACAGCAGTACTCACGAGATGGCAATGATGAGCTCCTGCTTCTGATGTTCCTTGGCTTTGATGGAGCCGCCCTCTGCCAAAGCCACCTGAAGCTCTCTTTGTAGCACACTGAGCTTGCGCCGTTCTGCCTCCAGGAGCAGGCTTGTCACCTGCGGGCGGGGAGAGACACGTGATCAACAAGAACTGAATCACCCACACCCACCCCACATCCAAATGCAAGTGGAGGCAACCCTCCGAAACAATGTCAGAGAAGAGAAAATGGAGGGGAGTAGACAAAGAGTTTACTTTGGGAAGGTGAAGCTATCCTTGTGCTTAACTATAAGACGTATGGGGGAGTGGAGGTATAGACCCACGCATCCTTGACCTCGGCACTAGTTGGTGAGTGGTCATCGTAACTCCCCAACAGCTGTACCCCCGGGAAAAGGACCCTCGGTGCCCACTGGATAAGAGGCTAACCCTTGCCCCTACTAGTACTAGAACTCCGACCCCTCGGCCGTCCAGCCCCTGGCCAGTCACTATACCGTACCGACTGAGCTATCCCGGCTCCCCATTACTTTGGGAAGGTCTGGTTCCTTCTTCACAAGAAATACACTGCGTAACCAAGTTGGTCAATGCAGTTAGAAAACTAATCGGTGATTTGGAAATCTTACGAAACACAAGCATACAGTTTGTTGGCGAAACTCGGAGGTTCTCTTTATTGTTAGGGCGGGCAGTACATACTATATATCGGCCACTTTGTTTCAGAGTTCAGATGAAAATGTTAATGAAACACGATAATTGCATCATTTCATCTCTCACTCTGTTCCATTTACGTACCTACCAGTTACTCCACAGGTTACATAAAGCACGCTCCGTCGGTATAGCGACAGGCTACGGGCAGGACGGTCCGGGTTCGATTCCAGGCAGGGCAACGTCCAGACCGGCTCTCAGGCCCACTCAGCCTCCTACCCGGGGGCTCTTCCCTTGAGACTAAAGCGGCCAGGGTGTAAAGCTGACCACTCGCCTCCAACTAATGTCGAGGTGAATAAAACGTGGCTCCATACATCCACTCCCCCTTACGCCTTCATGGCGTAGTGCTTAATTAGTTAAGCATGGGAACATCTTCCTTTTACTTCTCACTATCCACTAGTTTACTGGAAACGTTCTAAAAGTGTTTTAAATAAAACGGCAAAGGAGGTAATGAAGTAAATAATTATGTTACAAGTCGGAAGGTCGCGGGTTCGATTCCTGATGAGGTCATTAGATTTTTAAATTTGCCTAATCCTCCCAGCCGCACTATGGACCTGGGGTCGACTCAGCCTCTAACGTAAATGAGTACTAGGAATTTTCTTGTGGGTAAAGGGAGGCCGGCGCGTAAGGCTGACAACTTCACCTCCATCTATGAGCCGGTTGTCTAGAAAATGTGGGAGCTTCGATGTCTCACAACCCTATGGGCCTTCACGGCCTGTTACAAGGATACATTTACCTTTACCTTTACGTCACGAAAAAAAATGAAAGTAATGTTTAATTACAGAAGAACTGTTTCTGAGAGAGAGAAACGCCTAAGCTCTGACCGATGTTAGTTTTTGTTACACAGGTCATGTCGAATTCATCTGCGCGCTCTCTCTGAGGATGTGAAATGGAACGGAACAGACCACTGTGTCGGTTCGACCTACATGCCAGAGAACAGTCGAGGTCTGACATAGCCACAGTGGCCACTGACCGAACTCTACATGGTCGCAGTCCTTTACTACTGTCCCTCACATGATCAGCCTTCGGTTAGATCGCCGATAGTCAAAGGTTAACAAACTTGTTTCTAGGAAGCAAGAGATTATTATTTTGTTCCATTGTTTGTACTGCAAGAGTCGATACAGCAGCAATTTTAATAGTTTTCAATTTGCTATTCACAATCCTACAGTGGGCCTATCATGATTTGTATACCAGGTAAGTTAACCCTTTAAAGTCCAGTGGTAACTACGTGCACCACCCGCTTTAACTAAAACTCTGCATTCTGTCAATGCAGTGTGGCCTTTATGGTTCTCACAATAAACAGCGACTGTTTCCCTAAACTGCATTAACCGGTTGACTCTAAAAAATATAAGAGACTTAAACTTAGCGGTGGCCAAGCTTACGACCCTTCAAGTGATTAAGCTGCCGTTGTAGCTTAAGATACGTAACATAGGCATGATCTGCTCTGCAAAGCCTGTACTGACAGAGGACATTATATTGTGTATATTGTGTATATTGCACAAGGAAGAATTTTCAGTAACACGCTATATGTGGGATACGTACACTTGACGAAAGGCCAAGCATATTCATAAGAGAAAAACTCACCTTCTCGTCAGAGAGAATGTTACATAAGGACTATTACTGTACGGGCTCAGTTGAAAAAAAAATTTTTAGTCGTGAGTCTCAAGAGGTTTGACGCCAAGACGAACTGATTGGCGGTAATCCTCCAGTCATAAAGTGACTCTGACTTTTACTTCAAGCCTTTGGCGTTAGTAGTAGTAACGTAACATGTTCCCTGTGAGGAACGGACTGAATTATTATATATTATTTAGAAGAAATTCGGTTTTAAACTGTGTCACTACGGCCCTAGAAATCATGCAATAAAATTCATACATAAAGGGCAGAACATTTATTTATCTTATATTAATTTATGATATTTTAATTACACTTTCGGGAGATTAACCTGCATGGCTTGTGGTGTCGAATGACGGTGATTCATGAATGATCCAGCACATCAAAATGTACGGGGGCAAGCAGTAGGGTGGTTACTGTTTGCAGTAACTGAACTTACTGCTGTGCTGGCCCTGCGTTACTGACGATGCTTGTAATTACAAGTTGTGTTTCCAGAGGCAAACTAGGATGATGAGGCAAATTAC